GTCTAATGTATCACAGCTCGACCTTCAGCTAACTGTGTAGTCAATGGCCTTCAACCCTTGATCCTTCTCCTCTCTACCTCCCCAGTACTGGGATTACATAACATACACCACCACTATGCTTTGTTTTATGCAATACTTGGGATCAAACCCAGGGCTTTGTATATGCTAGGTAAATATTCCACCAACAACATGAGCTACATGCTCAGCCCTGAAACAAAATTAAAGTTTAGATTTCTTCATTTATGTTATCTGTGAGGACTTGACTTGCATGGATATGTGTGCATCACGTGCACACTTGACGACCAAGGAGTTCAGAAGGGAACATCGGATGCCATGGAACTGGAGTAATGGTGGGTGGTTGTAAATCACCGTGTGAGTGCCGGGAACTGAATCTGGGTCCCCTGCAAGAGCAACAAGTGCTTTTAACCCCTGGCCACCTCTCCAGCCCCCCAGTTCGAAATTTGATTATTTGTCTCTATTACATTTACAGCCCGTAGCCCCAGGCCACCCCACCCAGGTTTAGTGCTGGTGTTAAAGATGATGGCTGTCTATGGAATTCTCATGAGTCTTCTATCATCAGATAATAGAAACATCGCTTTACAGATGGGGACCCTGAGACTCTAGCAAGCTAAGCCTGCACACGCCAGAGCTGGCTTATGAACCTGGACCTTCTGGCTCCTGTACTTTGACCTTTTGGGTTTCATATTTGGCCCCTGACTGCTTGCTGTCTTTCAGAGGCTGAGTGCCTGGCCAAAATGAATGTCACAGTGCACGTCCCAACTAGGAGGGGGAAAAAATCCCTGAGAGCGGACTACTTGGGTGGGGAACACTCTGTACTTGCAAGCATTTGCCTATGCTCAAACTCACCTCCCAGCCCAGTGGGTTCCATCCCTGTTGGGTGTCTATTGAAACCCTACCCCTCCTCTGCCTGGCTCTTAAGCCAGCTTCTCACAGGCGCCTTCCCGGCCCCCCGGGCAGGCACAATCCCTCCTGAACTGTGCCTCAAGAACTCTGGCTGGCAGGCTGCCGCCTGCCCACCCACAGTTGGCCTGACCTCCTTTAGTGACCAGGCTTCACATCTCCCCACCCTGCTGGGCTCTGCCCGTACTCAGGAATCAGAACTGAAACCCAGGCCAGTCCAGAAACTCCATGAATGTCTGTAGCCAGCGCTGCAGGTGGGTGGTGCCAACCAAGCAGGTGCCTCCAGGGCTTGTGCCACTGCCAGCTGCCCTTTTCCCAGCCCCATGGTGGCTGAGTTGCTTTAACTCTTCCCAGAAGCCAGACAGCTGAGCCCGGGCCCCCAGTCAGAGCAGCTGCAGCTCCCCGTCTCTCCTGTATGCTCACCAGATCTTTGGAAACCTTGCACAAGCACTCTTGGTCTCATCAATCCGTTTGGGCTTCTGCTTCAGTTTCTGGACTTGGTCACAGTTCCTCTGCATTACTAAAGCCACGACCCTGGGCACTCCCTTATCCCAATACCTGATGTCCCACCATCAGAGGGAGACATTGATTTCACTGGGCCTGCTGGTTAGGTGGTCCGGAACACTAGCGTACAGCAGGTCAGATTCTTCCAGAAGACAGAGGTCTGAGCCATAGTCCCAAGGCCCTAGAAAACTCAACCTTAGAGCCAATAGCAGGAGGATGGACTCTATCACCCCTCACTGTCCCCACCTCCCCACAGCCTCTCTTGCTCTGAGAACAAACAAGAGAAGCCAGGCTATGGAGGGACAGAGGACAGCCGCCGCCTGTTCATTTTCTTCAGTGAATGAGCATTTCTCTAGCCCATGGGACAGTGAGGGAAGTGGCAGAATAAGGGGGTCTGTAGGGGTTGGCGCAGTTGGGAAGGCAACACAGTCAATGTGAAACCCACATGAAAAATCCTACAAGTGGTGCAAATGCTGTAAACACAATTGCAGAAGCAGAGGCATGGAGAACAGGGCTTGTTCGTTGGTCAGCCTAGCCTACACGGCTAGTCTCAGACCAAAGGGATGCCCTGTCTGAAAACAACAAGGTGGATGACACCTAGAAATAACACCTGAGGTTGACCTCTGACCTAAACACACACACACACTTACCTAACCACACGTGCCACTCCCACCTCACACACACACACACACACACACACCTAACTACACGTGTATGCTACCCCATCTCACACACAAATCTAACACGTGCCACCCACACCACACACGTGTGCCACCCACACCTCACACACACACACCTACCTAACACATGTGTGCCACCCACACCTCACACACACACACTTACCTAACACATGTGTGCCACTCACACCTCACACACACGCACACACACACACACACAAGCAGAATGCAGATATCCAATCAGAGCTTCCCCAGGTTACAGAGCCAATGAGCATGGACTTGGGGGGCAGACAGAGTCTACACTGGTCCCAGATTCACCGTCAGCTTCCTTAGATGCCTGCTACCTAGGCTGGCCTCAATCAACACATAACAGTGAAGCCTGTACCTCAGGACACCCAAGAGTCAGTCAATGCGTCTGGTGGGCATCCAGCACCGCATACAAAGGAAGAGGAATTTACATCTCAACTCATACAGGTGAGGATGGGTGCTACATTTAAGTGACGTTCTGGACTTAAAGAAAGAAAAAAAGCTACTTTAATCCCCGACTAACCCCAGAACAGCTCACTTAATCAGACTGTGACTGTGATTCACCAGAGGGGCATTCTCAACAGGTCATGTCACTCCTGTCCCCAGGGCTAGGCCTGCGATAACACTTTCACAAGCATGGGTCCTTTAGGGGAATATCTGCCTGTGGAACTGAGTGACAAATGGGGACAGACTAGGAGCAGAATCCAGAACTTCCTCCACTTGGGCTCCCATCACTGCCCTGCAACCTATCCCTCCACGGCATCCCTTCATGGACCACCCGCCCTGCAGCCTGTCCCTCCACAGCATCCCCTCGTGGACCACCTGCTCTGCCCTCCACGGCATCCCCTCGTGGACCACCCGCCCTGAGGATGAACTGCCAGGTGCCGGGTGGGGTGCACCACCAGCATCCAGGAGGCATCTCCCTGAGGATGCAGAATAGCACATGCTCTGTACTCTCAGAGCCCTCCCTGCTGCTGGTCCAGTCCCTGCATTCAGGGTCCCGACATAGTAGCATGGTGGTGTCCGGGGGCATCACTTAGGTCAGGATTATAACCTGCACCCAAACCTACTGGCTTTTTCAGGAACAGTGAGGCCCGAATTTTAGCCCCAGTCCTATCCTCAATATTCAGTGCTACTTGGCGTGATCTCAGCAACCCACTTTGGGCTTTGGGATCTTCAGTGAACATACCACATCTGAACAACCTCCCCTTTTCCTGGACTTTGAATGAGGTCTGAAACAGGCAAGCCAGAAGAGCCGAGAGCTTCAGAGTCCTAGGAGACCACGTCAAATACGGTGCTGTAAACGACCAGGCCAGACGCAAATTATTCTCCTGCTTCTTTCTACCTTCCTCCCTGATGAGGCAGGGACCTGAGAAGACCCATGGTCAAAGCATACCCCGAGCATTCTCCATCCAGGGCAAAGAAACCAGGCTTTAAGCCCTAAGTCACCGCCAACATCTTATAGAGAAGCCTCCATGAGAGCCCTGGGGTGGGAGCTTGCAGGGCACATGGCTGGATACTGTGAAGGGAGACCCTCCCAAAAGGATCCTCTAGACACAGCAATGCACTGCTGAGCTTGGAAGCAGAGGTTGGTTCTACCAGCAACCACATGCAGCCTTACCCATGACCATGCCGAATCCACGGAGCTCTTGTCCTGGGGCGGCTCCCACTTGGAGCTGCAGATCCGATCCTGCTCTGCCATGGCTAGACCCTGCAGAGACCGGAGAGAAATGACCCTCAGGGACACCGGCTCAGGAGCTGGAGGCTTAGCCTGGCGACACCGGAGTAGGCAAAACTGCTTCCCTTTACTGAGCCTGGGCCAAGTCACAAGGCCCCAGCAAAGAGCAGGGTGTTGAATTGCAAATCCTTTCCCACCTGGGGACTGGCTGACAAACACAACAGCCAGGATGCAAAGATACCAGAAAATGCCAGTTTCTGACCAGTTTGTGTGAGGCAACAGAGGAGGGCTAGCTGGCATATCAGGGCACTTCAGATCCACCACGTCCACTCCTGCCTGTGAGACTTAGCTCAGGAGTAAGAACGAGACAGAGCAACTTCCAAAGCTGACAAGTCCTAAGACAGACTCGGGATTGAAACCAACATGGGATTCCCAGAGGAATCTGATGAGAGGAAGCACTGGCAGACAGGCCATCTCTCAGGCCCCTTCCTAACTGAGTGCAGCCAATGGCGCTTACAAGAGACTGCAGTCCATAGTCAGGGAGACGACTCGGTGAAGAAAATTGCTTGCTGTGTATCTTAGTAAGTTTCTATTGCTCTAATAAAATACCATGACCAAAAGCAAGTTGAGGAGGAAAAGAACCCGGAGGCAGGAGCTGATGCAGAGGCCATGGAGGAGTGTCGCTTACTGGTTTGCTCCCTATGCTTGCTCAGACTGCTTTCTTTTAGAACCCAGGACCACCAGTCCAGGGATGGCCCCACCCACCATGGGCTGGACCCTCTCCCATCAATCACTAAACAAGAAAATGCCCTACAGGCTTGCCTACAACTTTTTTTTTTTTTTTTTTGGTTTTTCGAGACAGGGTTTCTCTGTGGGGCTTTGGAGCCTGTCCTGGAACTAGCTCTGTAGACCAGGCTGGTCTCGAACTCACAGAGATCCACCTGCCTCTACCTCCAGAGTGCTGGGATTAAAGGTGTGCACCACCATTGCCCGGCTACAACTTGGTTTTGTTGAAGCATTTTCTTAACTGAGGTTCCCTCCTCTCAGATGACTTTCGCTTGTGTTCAGTTGACACGGAACCAGCCAGCACACTGTGTGAGCACAAGAACCTGAGTGTGAATCCCTAGGGCCCAAGAGAAGTTGGTGCCGTCTGTAATCCTCATGGTGTACCTACGAGAAATGGGAGGCAGGGAACAGGAGAATCCCCAGGGTCTCGCTGGCAGCTAGCCTGAGACACACAGGAAAACGAGAGACTTTCTCAGCAAGGCAGAAGGTGAGGACTAACCCAAGCAATTGGTTGGCCTCTCACCTCCATTGCTATAGCATACACACACTAGCATTCTCTCACACATGCACACACTCACACACACATACCATATACACAAAAGATTACACAACACAGTGGCAGTGTTCCATGCATTCATAGTCTGTAGGTTTTCCACCAAATCCAAGAGAAGTTGCTCTCTGGGTTGCACTGTTATGAGTTTGCTAAAGCCAAAAGAGAGGGGTTCAGCCGCAGGGCTGTGTTTCCCACGTGGCTATGCGGCACACTGAGTTGGGTTCCTGCACCCTTCGTTACCACTGTGCTCCTCAGTTCCAGGCATCCTTCAACAGCTCCGGGCTTGCAATGGTCTCAGACACCGTGGGAACTATGCTGAGCATGGAGGCTATGATTTCCCACCAAGTATACATTGTTGCACCCAGGAAGGAGACGCTTCAAGAGCTGGCCTTGAGTCAAGAAGTGGGAAGTTACAGAGCAGACCAGGTGACTTAAGGGAAAGAGCCCGTAAGCTGGTTCTTGTATTCCCACACGTCCTGGATTCTGTTGGGCTCAGGTGGCCTGAAGCTAGTTTCCAGGAGAGAGGCTTAGTAAGACCGATTCTGGGCACAGCTGGGGTGAGAGCCCACATGGGAGTCAGGGCACCTATAGAGCAGAGTCAAGGATAGGGCTTCAGAATATTGTCCCTGAGTGCATTGATGGGTGAGGGAAAACGGAGAGGAGCAAGTCAGAAGGATTGGTTGCCCAGCCGATCTAGATGCTATTGCTGGCAAGATGGCTATGCCGCGGCCACCACATGCCACGGTCAAAGGACATAGAGACACGAAGCTGGATCTGAGCAGGAAGCCTCCCCACTGCTAACTCGCCCTCATAGTGAAGACAGTGTCATGCAGGCTGCTGGGGGTGGGGAGTGCTATCAAACTGTCTTCCTTAGCTGGGGACTCTGCATGCAACACTTCTGACTGGTCAGGCATGATGTGCAGTGGTGTGTAATGCCATGGCTGTTGTGGAGGTAATCAATCTCTGCCTGATAGAATTTGAAGCCCACTACACAGGAAGGAATTCACATCTGGTCCTGTAAGTCTAGTCAAAAGCCCATGGCAGGGGAAGCCATAGACCCTGGCATTAAAAGCTATTCCTTCTAAATAATTACATTTACACCCAGGTTTGGACAGAGATGCTTCTCTTTGCAGTGGGCAGTGGTCAATGCAGAGACTCATAACTGGTCAGAACGGTAAGAAGGAGTGAACAAGAAAGCCCAGCCATAAGCAGGACAACTGTATCAAACTTGCTAAGACTCCTGAGACATCACAGATAAAGGGGCAGAAGAAATGTAAACGCAGGAGGAAGTGGGGGCATGGGGAAGAGCTCACGAGGCGCCCCCCCCAGGATTAATAGGCAGTTATTGGTTGCTGGGGCAGAGGGAGATTGGTGTATTCATAGCAAGGTATCCATGCTCCAGGAAACAACCCCCACCCATGCTCCTGCAAACAATCCCAACAAAACTCATTGAGTAGCAGGAAAACAGAAGGGAGGGTCAATGGAAAGAGGAGGGAGTCACTGGGAGGGATGACGAGGATAACTGAGGTGAATACAACCCGGGTGAATGACACACAGGTATAAAAGTATCATAATGAAATCTACTATCATGTGCAATTAAAATAAAGACAAAAGACACACCTTTAATCCCAACACTTCAGAGGCAGAGGCAAGAGGAAGGAACTCTGTGAGTTCAAGGCCAGCCTGGTCTACAAACTGAGTTCAGCCAGGGCTATTACACAGAGACACCCTGACTTGAAATAGCAAACAAAGAAAAAAAAACAAAAAACAAAAAAAAAGGAAAGAAAGAAAAGAAAAAGAAAAAAGACAGAAAAAGAGTCAGCAAAGGACAGTGAGTAGCAGAAACTGCAGCCTGCCTCAGTTTCCCCTGTGCTTTACGCCCTCCCCTTTTGCTCTGCTCCCTGGTCTTGCACACGGCTGTGTATGATTCGCATAGCGTCCCTGTAAGATCCCACAAAGAAAACAAGCTGGAAAAGCTGCCTCAGTGGCGAAGCAGGACAGGCGAGTTCAGAGACAGGGCTGGCTATGCAGTGACTGAATCTGTAAGGTCACCCATTGAGCTCTGACAGGAACCACTCAGCCACTCAGCAGGGACACCCTCGGCCTTCCTTACTCTGGGGAGGATGGGTGTGCACAGCTCAGAACAGGCACCCCCCCCACTCTGACATGGACTAGTGCCCACATCCGAATGCCCTGAGAGGATCTTAAGTGCAAGAGAGAAAATGTCAATGTCCCAGGACACTTCCACCAGCCTGGGTCACCAAGGCCCTTACTATTTTTAACTCGCCCTCTCAAGATATTTTAAGAACCTTATGAGTGACAGGTGATAAGATTGTGCGGCGCTGTACCTGTCGGGTTCAGCGCTGGCCTGATGGAAGCATCCCACCACGCATGTAGCATACATGTCCACACACACTGCACCGTAAGGAAGGTACAGTGGGCTGCGTCTTGGCCACTGTCCCGGTGCGCCAAGCCTAGCCCATGAGTTTTCATACACGCTGGCAGCGTGCTCGGAGAGACAAAGTGCTCAGTGACGTGTGTCTTGCTGCTAGGTCAGACAGCTGGGAACACGCACTGGTTGGACATGACGCCAAGGACGGGGAAGTGACCGTGGGTGAGCTCGAAGCTTGGGTTCAGTTCAGCAGAAGTTCAGCACGGGATGAGGGAAGCCACAGCTGGAAGCAGGCCAGCTCTTGAACGCTGCCCCTAGAAGCTGCCAGGACCTAGGGGGACTCACTCCACCTCCAACAGCCTTCTTTTTCCCATCTGGGAAAACAAGGATCAAAACAGCCCCTCCCACACATGTACAGTGGCACAGACCTGTAATGGAGAGACCATGGCAAGAAGATCACTAGTTCATAACCAACCTGAGCTGCGGTGAGCTCAAGGCCAGTCCAGCAACTTAATGGGATCCTGAAAAAAAAATTCTTTCGAGAGGTCTTGGGGAGTCTTGAGGCTACAACAGAAAGGTCTTGTTGTGATCCTTGTACATTGTAACCCCTGGAAAATAGAAACAGGACAATTCTTTTTCTCCACAGCAACTTTGGCATTAGGGACACCATGGTGGAGATGCAGAAACAGGGTGTGTGTGTGTGTGTGTGTGTGTGTGTGTGTGCGCGCGCGTGCGCGTGCGCATGTTTATGTGGGCACATGTGTATGGGGTACACACATACGCACATGTGTGGAAGCCAGCAGAAAACATCTAGTGTCATTCCTCAGACACCGTCCACCATTTTTTGGAGACAGGGTCTCTCAATGTCTGAAGCTCAGCAAGTGGGCCAGGCCAGCTAGTTGGAAGCCTTCAGGGACCCTCTTAGCCCAGCTCCACAGCCCTGGGATTGTAAGTGTATGCCATGGCACTTTGTTTCCTCACATGTTAGAGATTAAACTCGAGTCCTCACGCTCATTGGGCAAGAGTGTCCCTTATTGGACAGTTAGAATGTGCCAAGGAGGACTGTTATCGGTGAGACTCTGTCTCACCATCCCACCAGCACGGGGACTCCTCAGGACAGGCTCTCTGTCCTCAGCTCTAAAAAGCTCAGGGTTTTTTTTTTTTTTCTTTTTTGACATCATCAGTTGCTGGAGGCTCTAACGTCTTATAATAGCACACGGAAGTTCCCCCCACTCCCTCAGTGATCGGACCAGGACCTGAAGAGAAGTCCCTTGCAGATCCCAGCTGTCAGGATGCCACCCTTCTCCTGGCAGCCATATCCACATCTGTCCATAAGTGCTCAGATCCTTTGCTGACGTGACTTCACTTTTCTTACGTTTTCTTCCTAACACCACAGCCAAGGTGATGGAGGAAGGTCATTGGTTAATTAAATGAAGAAACTGCTTGCCCTGATAGGTTAAAACATAGGTGGGAGGAGTAAACAGAACAGAATGCTGGGAGGAAGAGGAAGTGAGATAAGGCTCCTCAGACAGACTCCATAGCTCCTCTCAGAGAGGCACGTGATGAAGCCCCGACCCAGGATGGACGTAGGCTAGAATCTTCCCGGTAAGCTTGGGGTGCTTACACACATTATTAGAAATGGGCTAGTCCAGGTGTGAGAGTTAGCATAGAAGAGGCTAGATAGAAAAGGGCCAAGCAGTGCTTAAATGAATACAGTTTGTATGTTGTTATTTCGGGGCATAAGCTAGCCAGGTGGCCGGGGTGCTGGGGATGCAGCCCTGTCGCTCCAATTACAACACCAAGGCCTCTCCTCAGTCCCAGAATGCTTTTCTCCTTCTGACCCTTGCGGTCAGAGCTTGGAGCTGGCATGACTGAGGTCATTCTGGGAGCCACAGGCTCTTCTTACACAAATCGTCTCCAGGGGTTGTCTGCTATTTAGGCCTCATGTCATAACCGCCACAGCAGCCTCTCAGGATGAGGTCCAGACTCAATCCCCGTTCAACATCGTAAAATGGCAAACCGACACACAAAGTTTTCAAAGCCTATTTCCACATTCAGAAGCATTTCATGGGTGACGATTACATGTAGTGTTTGATCTGAGTCACTAGGACGGTCCTCATAGCAGAAGTGTAGTGAGTTGGCAGCTTCGATGGGTTAAGCCATGTTCGTTCTGTTTAATATAGACATTAACAATAAGTAACCTATCAAGATGTGCTTGTGTTTGTACTGAGCAAATCTAAGGTATTTGTTACTTTCATTGTTGCCATGACAATGTACCTGATGGGAGCAACTTAAAGGAGGAGGGGTTGGTTTGGGTTTCTGCCCTGGAATGTTGTCCTTCTCTGTGTCTGCTTACCCATCTCTGTGATGTCAGTGGTGATCTGACCCTTGACCTGGTTTCTTTGACTGTCCTAAGAACCGTCATTACTTTTTCAGTAAGTTCAGCTTTTTGTACTCAGGACAGAATGAGTTCTGAACTCACAGCACACTGAGTGGGGCACTGGAGTCCCACACCAGTGCTTCTGTGGATGGCAGTCATCAGTGACAAACCTACGGGGTTGTGTAGGTTAGCCTTGCATCCCTGTGGCAAAGTACCTCAGAGAAAGAGTGAGGTAGCTAACAACCATCTGTCACTCGCTCTGCAGACTGGGCTGACCTCGAACTCACAGAGATCCACCTGTCTCTGCCTCCCAAGGGTTGGGATTGAAGGTGAGTTCAACACTACACCAGGCTGAAAACCTTTCTTCTAAAACAAAACGAAACAAAAATTTAAATAGCTTTTTAAAATGTGTGAAACATGGCCTTGTGAACCCTGACAAACGTGAATTCTTGTTTGTTAGTTCTCCAGCCACAGAACCCATCAAACACTGACAGGCAGCCTGGCCCATTTTGTTCAGTTTCCTTCCTGTGGGCTGCTCTGATTTCCAGTGAGAAGGAGGCCTGTACTTTGCAGGGCCCATGGCTGAGAAAGTTAAGAGAACCCTTTACTCCAAAATTTCAAAGAATTTCAAGATGTCAACAGGAGCACTAACTCGGCTCTTAAGCAGGGATCCCCAAAAAGATGACAGACCACACAATCAGAAATCAGGCCGCATATGCTGGTGGCTCCTATCATTTCTTAACTAAAGCCATGGGATCGTTCCTTGTCTCTTTCCCAGTCTCAAAAGCAATCCCGTGTAGGAGCAGAATGAAAAGTAAATTTGTATTATCTCAGTTTCATTGTGGCTATGGTCGTATATCCAGAGGAAGACTGCACTGATTGTCACTGGGCCATAAAACCTGTGGTAGAAAAAAACAACAAAACAAAACAAACGGAAAACATTAGGAGACCAGGGTGTTGATCTAATTCTCTTCCCAGGAGATACGAGGCCTCCAGAAGTCTTCCAACTCCAAAGTTCTCTTTTCTCCATGGGCTTAAAAATGAGCAGAGTAAAACGTTTTTAAACAGGCTTAGCACACATTGAAGTGAGATCCTCAAGGAGGTGGACAGTATGAGACGGGGAGGGTCTGGGCACCGGCCACCTTATTAGGTTGGCAAAGTTGCCAGAGCCTGGCCAAGCCTTCCCTGGTCTCTTTCTGACTGCTCACAGTGATGACAACAGAGAGAGGTACAAAGCTCAATTTCCATGTCTCTCTGTCTGTCTGTACCGTAGCTTGGACATCTGTGTGCCGAGCCACTCTTTTGATCCGCGGAGAAATTCTGCATCACGGGTGGTATTTTAAAATTGAAAATGGGAAAGGGCACAGAGGGGTTTAAAAACACAGCTGATCAGTGATGCTATCCAGGCATACCCCCACAAAGAACCCCCTTTTTCCATCAACACATGCTTTTCTGGATAGAGCCGAGTGAGTGGAAGAGGGTTTCAAGTCTGATGCTACTCTGGAACTCCCTTCAGGGGCGTGTCCTCCCAGCTCTGGAGGTTCCCAGGAAGGAGGTTCACCGGGCAGCTAGCCCAGGCTCTGGGCAGTGAGAGGGAGGGAGCCCAGGCCACCGCGAGACAGTGATGGAGACCAGCAGCCCGCGGCACCCAAGGCCCAGCCCCAGCGCAGGGTTGAGCCTGGACGCACGGCTGGGCGTGGACACGCGCCTCTGGGCCAAGGTATTGTTCACCGCGCTCTACTCGCTCATCTTCGCGCTGGGCACAGCGGGCAATGCGCTGTCCGTGCACGTGGTGCTGAAGGCACGGGCGGGTCGCCCCGGACGCCTGCGCTACCACGTGCTCAGCCTGGCGCTGTCGGCGCTGTTGCTGCTACTGGTCAGCGTTCCCATGGAACTCTACAACTTCGTGTGGTCCCACTACCCCTGGGTCTTCGGCGATCTGGGCTGTCGTGGCTACTACTTCGTGCGGGAGCTGTGCGCCTATGCCACGGTGCTGAGCGTAGCCAGCCTAAGCGCAGAGCGCTGCCTGGCTGTGTGCCAGCCGCTGCGTGCCCGCCGCCTGCTCACTCCGCGCCGCACCCGCCGCCTGCTGTCCCTGGTTTGGGTCGCCTCACTGGGCCTTGCCCTGCCCATGGCGGTGATCATGGGACAGAAGCAAGAAGTGGAGGGGGCCAATGGGGAGCCCGAGCCCGCCTCGCGCGTGTGCACGGTAATGGTGAGCCGCACCACACTGCAGGTCTTCATCCAGGTAAGGGAAACCCACAGTTGAAGGGGAGAACCCACTCCCTAAAGTTGTCCTCTGTCCTACACACACACACACATCATTTTTTTTTAAGGAACCATAAGGTGAGCCCGTGAAATGCACTTTTTTTTTTTTTTGTCCCATTAGACTCTGCACCTATTCCACTCCAACCATGGGGCTCTGGAGTGGGCCTCTCAGAAATCGAGGGGGGCGTTTTTCTGTTTCTGTCTTCTGGGAGCTGATGGGGTTTCTGGCCTCACTTCCTGCCCCTCCTGTCCCGTGAGAACCCCCCCCCCCCCCCCCCCCCCCCCCCCCCCCCCCCCCCCCCCCCCCCCCCCCCCCCCCCCCCCCCCCCCCTGCCCTCGCACCTTGCAAGGCTATTTTCCCTAGTTCTTCCTGGCCTCTCTCTCTGGCATTTAGTTCAATAAGTCTTTCTTTGCTCCCTCTCTCTCCAACCCTTCTTAACCCCAGAAGTGAGCTATATTTTCGCCTCTGTCTGAAAGGGGAAGGCTCCCAAGACCTCTCCTCTCCTGCCCCCTCCCCTAGTTTGTGATCCACTCCCAGCGATTTGCAGTGCTTTTTTTGAAAGCAAGTCTTACCTTCCCAAGTACTTGGTCCAGTGGTCCTTGTAACCCAGGGCCCTCGTTTCAAATGAGCCTGAGTGGAACACGCACTGACGTAGTGAGAGACACTAACGCAGCCACTACAGCGTCCTTCCCAGACACACTGGTGTAGTGAGAGACACCAATGCAGCCACTCAAGCGTCCTTCCCAGACACACTGGTATAGTGAGAGGCACTAACGCAGCCAATCCAGCTTCCTTCCCAGACACCCAAAGGACCAAACACAGTGTGGACAGCATCCCTTCACTGCCCAAGAGCATGCAGAGGATGCCAGCCAGTGAATCAGGACACATACGGGATTTGAGGGCTGCACAGACAGCTGGACCATCATCCCTCTGCACAGTATTGCTGGCCAGGTGTAGACTGTAATCTTGGGGGAACTGCTGAGATGTTCAGGTCCTTGTGTCCCAGAACAAAGAGTTGGACCAGGGGCACACTCACAGATTTATGGGGGGGAAGCACTTCCAAGATTGCAGTGGACATAGAGCAGGGGAGAAGGGTTAGAAGCTCAAGGTCCCTTAACCAGGAGAGTGGAGTGGTGGCGACCTTTTATGGGTCAATTGCATAGCACCTGCCTTCTTCCACATTTGTAATTCATGTAATTCATGGATTTTTCTATTGCATGCTTTGTCTCTTACATGTACCCATTGGTAAGGATCATTTTTTGCCTTTCTCTGTTATTGGTTTCTCTCTCTCTCTCTCCACCTTATTCTCCTGCCTCAGTACAATGCTGCAGGCTTGACATAAGGTTCCCTCTGTTCCCCTTCACCACCCTGTGTGTGTCTGCTGGGTCTTGTGAGTAGGGAGAGAGAGGACACATGTGACCTTCCTTTTCACCCAAGAGGGATGGGGAGGAAGCATGAGAGGGCCCAATTGTTAAATTTTGTGCCCATATTCTATGGGGCTGCTTTATCCCTATCAGGTCCAAATTTCCCTCCAGGAGAAAAGAGAAGCAAGTGCCAATAATGGTCTGCTTGGAATGGATTTGCTTTTAAAAGTTTGGCATTTAAAACATCGTGTCCATTTCTAGCACTGAGTTCAGCCACTATAGGGGAGGTAAGGGAGAGAGGGAAGCTGAAGGGTTCTGCTCAAGATGCTGCTGCAAGCCATGCAGACACAAGACGAAACAAGAAGCCTACAGAAGGACGCGGGACAAGGATGGCAGGGAGCAATGGCACCCTGAGTCAGAATGAAGGGCGTGCTGGCTCCCAGGAGGACCTTCTTCTGTTCTTTGTTTCTGCTTTGGTCCTAATTCAGAAAGGGATGTTTGCCTGTCCATGGGCAGTATTCACATGCCCGAGTTTGCCTGAATGCCAAAATCATGGCGCCAATATCATGAGATCATTAAATGTGACCCCGTGAAAGTGTAGGGATACAGCACAGAAGGTCCTCAGCCCATGTCCCCCCAACTTTCTGTCCCCACTTATGCTCTCTGAGGGTTGTTCTTTAGTTTTCCTTCTCAACGAAGCATCCAGCCTGGACCACTGTGCAGCCTTTGTTCCCCACCCATGCCTCATGAAATCTCCCCATAAACATATGGGAGACGGGTGGAGCCCCCAGGAGCTTCCCATGTGGCCTCTAGGACAATCACTGGGAGAACGAGTGGGGAAAGAGGACCCCCAGGCCACCCCTCTGCTGTCTTTGCCCGGGGTATCTCTGGGGGTCCCACTTCGCTTTGAGCCCCCATGGTGCCCCGCATGGATTCCGTTTTGTCTCATGGCTCTGTGTGTCACTGCAGTTGCTCTTCCTGGACAAACTGAACCTCCACTTGCCACAGCTTTCTGTGTGCTGTTGAAATTAGGAGCGGCAGGGCTGCGTCCCCGGCACCCGGCCGCCCGCATGGCTAGTTTATACCCAGAAATAATTACACGGAAACTGTATTCTTTCAAACACTGCCTGGCCTGGCTAGGTCCAGTTTCTTATTGGCTAGCTCTTACATATTGTTCTAACCCATTTCTAATATTCTGTGTAGCCCATGAGCTGGCTTACCAGAGAGGATCTTAACCTGCGTCTGTCTGGAGTGGGAGCATCATGCCGCTCCTCACACAGCTTCTTTTTCCCAGCATTCTCTTCTGTCTACTCCGCCTACCTAATTTTCTGTCCTATGAGGGCCGAGGCAGTTTCTTTATTAGTAAGAAATCACTCCCACATCAGTGTGCCAACCTCCAAGACTGTGATTATGGACTGTGGTTTTTAAAATGGATTCCCTTTATTTTTTAATCTTATGTCTGTGTCTGGGAGTAAGGGTATGTCCACAATGAGTGCAGGTACCTGCAGAGGCCAGAAGAAGACATCAGACTTCCTAAAGTCGGAATTACAGGTTGTTGTGACCTGCCCAACATGGATGTTGGGAACAGAACTCTGGTCCTCTGCCAGAGCAGCAAGTGTTCTGAACCACTGAACCAACTCTCCAGCCCAGGAAATGTTACTTTTTTGTTTATATGTTTTTCGAGACAGGGTTTTTCTCTATAGCCCTGGCTTTCCTGGAACTTGTTCTGAGAGTGGGCTGACCTCGAACTCACAGAGATTCACCTGCCTCTTCCTCCCGAGTGCAGGGATTAAAGGTCTGCGCCGCCACGGCCTCGCTTGTGGACTGTGGTTTTAAAATAAAGGTAACCAGCCAATATGAGCCGTTTGAAGATCCTGTTCGAACAGAAAGACTGCGGAGTAGGCTGGGGCACTCAGAGGCCTGAAGACAGTGACTGAGGAGGTCGAGCATCTAATGATGTCTCTCTTTGGAATGAGTTTCTGCCTCCTATCCACAGGGAAGAATGGGTTCTCTGTGGCCTTGGGCTTGTACTGTGGCAGCACAGTTCTGAGCCTTTACCTTCCAGGCCTTTCTGTCCCCGCTTCTGCTGATGCAGATTCTGAGTTCGGAGCCAACCTGATGGCCAGAGCCACAGGCACTACCCCTGTGACGCATGGCATTACCTTCACAGGTGAATGTGCTGGTGTCCTTCGTGCTTCCCTTGGCACTCACCGCCTTCCTGAACGGGGTCACTGTCAACCACCTGATGGCCCTCTACTCCCAGGTACCATCAGCCTCTGCCCCAGTCAACTCAATCCCCAGCCGCCTGGAGCTCTTGAGTGAGGAAGGCCTCCTGGGTGTCATCGCGTGGAGAAAGACCCTGTCTCTAGGGGTCCAAGCCAGCCTGCTGAGACACAAGGATACCAGCCAGATCCGCAGCCTCCAGCACAGCGCCCAGGTTCTCAGTTAAGTACTCCATCACAACACTGCCCTGTGGGAGAGGAGCCTGGGGAACCAGGGCTGCCTCTATCAGTCCCTGGCGGGATGAGCTCGGCAAGCTATTGTCCTTCTCTAGGTCTCCTTTGCCCTGTACCTCGGAGGAGCTGGACGTTCATCCATAGCATTCCCTCACAAACACATTGGGGTCATTAAAAGAAAGAAGTGGAGTTCTAAATGAAAGTACAGATCTGTCCAGGGAGTAGCTTACCCAGGACACAGGCAGAGACCTGGCTCTGTCTCAGAAAGTGGGTCTGTGTGACAAGACCAGGCGGAGCTCCAGTGCAGGACTTCAGTCTGGCGATTGTGGATGCTCAGACTGGCTGGGTCCCCAAACCCCATTTCCTCTCTAACACATCTGTTTACTTGCCTGCCTTTTGGTAAGGATCGGGAACAATCTGGCCTTGTAAGGGACATTTTAAAAGGCACTGGAAAACAGGATCTCTCTGTGCGACCATCATGCCCTAGTTGAAATCTGAGCCCTAGCTGAATTCTGGAAGGATCCGATGAGATGGGCCTGTGCTCTCTGCAACGTCACAGTCTCGTGGGAAAAGATGTTAAGAGCAGAGTGCACAGTGAGGTGATGGTTGGCACAAAGTCAGCCGGGTGGGAATAGCTAGCCCTAAGTCGGGAGTGTGTTCCAGCATGCATCAAGGGTTCATTCTACAGTTGCTGGGCAGAAGTTCCAAGAGCCAATGTCTAGCAGATCTGTTCCCTTCACATTTCCTTAGCGTATGGACTAAATAGTGCCCCCAAACTTCAGAGTGTATGGCAATGATATGGGACATTGCAAAAAGCCAGAGCGTAGGGCCCAGCCAGGAGTTTCCAACCAACGAGTTCTTAAGTGGGGTGACGACGATTCTGTATTTGGACCAGGATACTAGTCAGTGCCGCCACTACTGCTGCTGCTGCTGGCTGTTGCTACGGGGCCCACACTGGGTTATACATGGGTGCTCATGAGAGGAGGAGGAAAAGTTGTCAAAGTCGAGTGGGAAGGACTTTCACAGGTGGCAATAATGGAGACAAGGAAGAGAGAGGGTGAACAGTTGCTGGGAAAGAGCCCATTGAAAGCAAAGTGAGGAAGGATAAAAAACTAAGAATGTTCTGGTCTCTGGCCTGATGATGGTACCACCATCCGTCCAGCCAGAAGGAGGAGTTCCGGAACGAACTTTGCAGGGTACAAAAGGCATTTGCAGCATGTTGCCCAGGCACGCAGGTGGGACTATCTCGCTCGCTCTGAGTTGGGAGTGTATTCCAGCAGTCAATGGAAGATTCTGGAAGCATGTTGTGTCCAAGGACAGGGCAAGTTCATATCCAGTAACTTAAAGTTCTCTTCCCATCCTTTGGCTCCAGGAAGAGGTCACGGGAATTGCTGTTGTCACCTTTGGCACCTTCCTCCCTGGACGATGATGTAACTGAGAACGTGTTTACTTTCTGTCTGCTATGTCCCCTCTCTCTCTCCCACTGTCCTGCAGGAGCCATTGTGGCTGTGTATGTCATCTGCTGGCTGCCGTACCATGTCCGCAGGCTCATGTACTGCTACATCCCTGATGACGGGTGGACTGAGTAAGTGGACTGAGGCTGTCTGGTCACTGAGCAGGGACTGTTGGGTGGGCTGGAACCGGGCGATGGATCCTCAGCTGCTAAGGTTTCTGGATTTCTGACCCTATAGTCTATTATTTGGTCCTGCTCAGGATCTCAAAATCTTCCATCTGGAAGTGGGGAACAAGGCATTGTGGGGGTCTTCTGTTTGTTTTTAAATTACTTTATTTCATGTGCACTGGTGTTTTAGCCTGCATATATATCTGTATATGGGTATTGGATACCCTGGAACTGGAGTTACAGTTGTGAGATGCCATGTGGGTGCTGGGAACTGAACCTGGGTCCTCTGGATGAGTAGTCAGTGCTCTTAACTGCTGAGCCATCTCTCCAGCACTGTTCATTTGTCTTCAGACCAAGTCTTGCTATACTGCCTCAAGTGACCTAGTATTCTCTTAGTAGCCAAGCACAGCAATCCCCCTGCCTCAGTCTCCCAAGGACTGGAGTAAGAGGCTTATGTCATGCCTGTCAGGATCAGGGTACCCTCTGAAAACATCCCTGATCTGGTAAGTCCATGGGTATGACAGGCTTCATGGATAGTTGGGCTATGAGCATCTTGACACCAGAACAAACCAATGCTTGCAGCCCCGGAAGGGAGGTAAAGGCCATGTTATTACAAGGAGAAAGAGAAAGACACAACATAGTTTCGTGATCTAATAAAAACTGTATGGAGAATAGGATGTGAACCCTCTTTTATTAGAGAAGAGAAAAATCATGGGTTAGAAATACAGCTCACCTGGTAGAGTTATTGCCTAGCAACCACAAAGCCCTGTCTAAGTTACATTTTCTGTTGCTATGAAGACACCAGGACCATGGCGACTCTTATAAAGAAAATCACTTAATTGGGGCTGGCTTACAGTTCAGAAATTTAGTTCACTATCATGGTGTTTGGAGGCATGGCGGTGTGCAGGTAGACATGGTGCTGGGAAAGGAGCTGAGAGTGGTAAAGATAAAGAGCTCCATCTTTGTCTGCAGGTGACAGGAAGTGAACTAGGGCACTGGGCATTGTAAAATGGATGGGGCCTGCTTGTTTGTGTTTTCTGTCCTCCCACCAGGTCCCCTCAACTGTTTAGCCCCAAAAGAAAATCACACATAGTTAGTTCTCCATAAATTATAAGCTGATTGGCCCATTAGCTCTAGCCTCTCACTGGCTAACTCTCACATCGTGATTAACCCATTTTTCTGATCTGTGTTAGCCATGTGGCTCAGTACCTTTTTCAGTGGAGCAGATCACATCCTGCTGCTTTGGTGGTCTGGGCAGGAGTGGGAGGAATCAACTTCCTCCTTCCCTGTTCTCCTTACATCATTTCTATTTCCTGTCTTGTTTTCCTGCCTATATTTCCTGCCTGGCCAATCAGCGTTTATTTATAACATGATTGACAGAATACAGACAATTCTCCCGCACCAGGGCATAGTCTGAGCAGATATGAGACCTCAAAGCCCACCCCCACAGGCCAGCAAGACCGTATCTAATGCAACAAAACCACAGCTCATAATAGTGCTAATCCCTATGAGCCTATGATGGTCAATTACATTCAAACATCACAAGGAGCATATGCCAAGCCGAGGAGTTCTGCCACGGGGAGCATAACTTCTGAAAAACTAACCAAAAACTTCCCTTGTGAGTAAAGCCACATCTCCTTGACCATACCACGAAGCGCAGGGTTCCGAGCATCTCACTGACCTTGGCGGATAGCCTCTGTCCTCAGGGGAGCCATCTGCCACATAGAGGTGGTCAATAATCATAAGCAGGGAGGTGACAGTCTCTAACTAGACCCCTGGGTTTCCCTTCCAGCACACTCTACAATTTTTATCACTACTTCTACATGGCGACCAACACGCTCTTCTACGTCAGCTCGGCAGTGACCCCGGTCCTCTACAACGCTGTGTCTTCCTCCTTCAGGAAGCTCTTCCTGGAATCCCTCAGCTCTCCGTGTGGTGAACAGCACTCCCTGGTGCCCTTACCCCAAGAAGCCCCAGAGTCACCCCCTAGTACATACAGTTTCCGGCTTTGGGGGTCGCCAAGAAACCCCAGCCTGGGTGAAATACAAGTATGAAGAGAATAACAATGGCTGCCTGGGACATGCTCATCAGACAAGCCATGCCATCACTAACAATCCAGGTGGACCTCCTGACCCAGCTCACTCACTGAGCAGTGCCTACTACGGGCAAGCCACATAACACCCACTACCTTCAGCTTTCCACCTGTGCTACTGAGTTAAATAGGAACCGTTGCCTAGTGATGAAGGTGTCCAGTGCCAGGCCTGGTACATAGCCAATACTCAATAAATTTAACTGGTGCTAATCTTTTTTTTTCTCTCTCTCTCTGTATGTGTGAGTGTGTGTTGGCATGTGCATGTGAACACATATGTGTATGCACATCCATGTTTGTGTATCTTATGTGGTCTTGTGTGTCCATGTGCTCATGTATGTGGAGGCCAGAGATCATTGTCTTAGATAGGGTTTCTATTGCTGTGAAGAGACACCATGATCATGGCAACTCTTATACCGGAGTTTAATTGGGGCTGGCTTACAGTTCAGAGGTTTAGGCCATTATCATCACAAAGGGAAGCATGGTGGCGTGCAGACAGACATGGTGCTGGAGAAGTAGCCGAGAGTTCTACATCTGGATCCTCAGGCAGCAGGAAGAGAGAATGACACTGGGCCTGACTTGAACATTTGAAACCTCAAACCCACTCCCCAGTGACATACTTCCTCCAACAAGGTCATATGTCCTAATCCTTTCAAATAATGCCATTTTAATTCAAAACAGCACAAGCATCCACCTTGTTTTTGAGACATAGTCTCTTCCAGGACTTGAATTCACCAAACATGGTAGACTAGCCGAACAGAGTCCAAGTGTCCTGTCGCTGTCTCCCTGGCACTAGGATTCTAAGTGTGTGCCACTACCACACCCATGCATGTTTAAAAAGCATGGATTATGGTATTTGTTTTAGGATTTCTTTCTCTTTTTCTCAAGACAAGGTTTCTCTGTGTAGCTTTGGAGCAAACTAGACCAGCGCCCCCCACCCCATCTTGCTTCTTCCGTTTCTGGCAGACAATCCTTAATGTTCTGTGTTTGAAGATCTCTCACTCCAGCCTGCACCTCCTTGTCCCATGGTCTTGGCATGCTTGTGTTCCTCAGGGGGCATGGCTCTTCACTCTAGGACAGTGGTTTTCAACCTTCCTAATGCTCAAACCCATTAATACAGTTCCTCATGCTGTGATGACCCCCAGCCATAAAATTATTTCCATTGCTACTTCGTAGCTGTAATTTTGTTACTGTTAAGAATCATAATGTAAATAGCTGTGTTTTCCGACGGTCTTAGGTGACCCCTGTGAAAAGGCTGCTCTAGTGTAATCTTAACCAGTTTACATAGTAAGGATCTATTACCAAATGAGGCCAGAATCCTGAGATGTTGAGGGTTAGGACCAAAAAGTCGTTGCGGGGTCCAATACCTCTTTTGAAGATCACAAAAACCCCCACCTGGGAGGGCAGGCAGGCCTGCACCTCTGGATAAAGGTTTCTGTTGAACAAGGACAGGCACAAGCATGACCCCAGTCCCCAGGAAGAATACAAGAGCTTGCCAGAGTTGAATGAAGAAAGAGAGAAACTGGGGCAGTGTATTTGGGGAATGACAAATCCACTCACAGGATCCTTGTTTCTTCCCTGGGCACGAAGGCCTTTCCAACTGCTTTGCCCATTAAGATGCTAATCTTTTCTGAGCTGGGACATCTGCCCAGACAAGCAGATTGAAAAAGAAATGAGATCGGTTGTTTCTGGAGGCCGCCTTCGTTCATGGTCCTCCCTCAAATAAAAGCTGTCTGTAGAAGCTGAAGACAGGTCAAATGTTTTCGGTGCAAATTTCTAAACCTAGCGGACAATGAGGACTACTGAGAACTCAAGAACAATGGCAATGGGTTTTTGATCCTACTGCAAGTACTGGCTTTGTGGGAGCCTAGGCAGTTTGGATGCTCACCTTCCTAGACCTGGATGGAGGTGGGTGGTCCTTGGACTTCCCACAGGGCAGGGAACCCTGATGGCTCTTTGGGCTAACGAGGGAGGGGGACTTGATTGGGGGGGGAATGGGAGGCGGTGGCGGGGAAGAGACAGAAATCTTCAATAAATAAAAAAATAAAGCAAATTTCTGAATGAAAAGAGATTAATAACCTCGGATCCCCAGGCACTTCGCAAAAGGTGTAAAATCCAGTGGGTTTGGTACCGACTCGTGTTTGTTATAGACTCATGTCCAATATGCAGCCCAAGTGGGCTTCCAGTGAAAAGATATGGGACCAATACATTTATCCAATACAGAGCGAGAGAAGCCGACTGTACCTTCCACTCTGTGACAGTGGTGGGAGTAGGTTAAGATGGGAAGCTGCCAAATGTTGACAGGGATGTTACTCTGCTCGAAGGTCTACTCTTTCCTCACCTAACACCAGTGCAGTCTTAGGTCACATAGTCTCTTTGTTAAAATGGTCCCAGTGACATCCACCTCAGAGTACTGCTGCATTAGTATAATAGGATGGCATAATGGTTAGCCGAGACTCAGCGGTGTTTGCTGAGCCCTGGGATTTACTCTTTGACTAACACATGTCCTGGAGAGCTGAGTCCAAGGATCCTGGCTTCTGTCGTTGCTCTCCACACCCCAAGACATAATACTGTAAGAACCCCAACTTACCTACTCTTACAAACGCCAGCTCTCCAGTATCTCTTATCTCTCATCATGATATTCTCTACACTGCAGAAAGCATTTGGGTAGCCTTTCTCTTTAGGGACCACACATATCAGAAAGGCCTGTGCAAGCCCAGATGATGAGAAGCAGAGAATGAAGCTCTAAAGTCAGGAGCTAGAGCAGTGGTTCTCAACTGGTGGGTCATGATCCCTTTGGGGAAATCAAATGACCCTTTCACAGGGTTGCAGATATCCTGCATATCAGGTGCTTACATTACAATTCATAACAGTAGCAAAATTACAGTTATGAAGTAACAACGAAAATAATTTTATGGTTGGGGGTCACCACACGTGAGGGACTGTATTAAAGGGTTGCAGCCTTAGGAAAGTTGAGAACCACTAAACTAGAGAATTCTGGGTCACCATGTATGTTCATGTCACTTACTCATGAAGACCCATCAAGCATATATTTGCAGCCTCAGGCCCCTGATGACCCAATCTGAGTTGAACTCAGGTAATGGTGAAGTCTGTGTTTGGGGTGGAGCATTATATAGGGGTTTAAGGGTATTCTAGCTGGTTAGATTTGAACCCGAGGATAACTTATCCTGGCTTAGGATAATTAAGGTTCTCAACCAGCTGCATATCCTGGCAAGGATTCTTCCGGCTCTTGGAGTGCTCCCTAAGTGAAGAAATTGGGCATATAACAGTTGGTTGTGTTGGAGCTGTCAGAGACACTTGAGTGTGGCTTCTGTACAAAATGACTTGTGACCAAGAGCTATGACACCACCTCTCCTATTAGAATGTCTGTAGAATGGGAAGAACTCAAGACATCAGGAAAAACCATGTGGTGGAGACTGAAAACCTTAGAACCTCACTAACTCCACAGCTACTAAAGATCCTAAAGATCTTTTAACTAATAGTTGGCACATGTTCCATTACCGATATAACAAGCTAAGTCTTCCAGTTCAGAATAAGTGGAGGGGTTCAGTTGATAGAGTGCTTTACCCAGCATGCAGGAAACTCGGGTTTGGTCCCCAGCATCATATTAAACAGGCATGATGGTAGATATAATCCCAACTCCCAGAGGCATAGGCATGGGGATTACTGTAAATTCATGATCAGCCTAAACAACCTAGTAAATTCAAGGCCGACTAGACCTATATAGTGAAACCCTATCTCCAAACCAAAACAAACAAAAATCAGAAGAAGTTGGGGCTATTTGGTTTCTTGGTGCTCGAGTGTAGATGGGAGATTTTCTCATGGCACCTCTGTTCCCAGTCTGTACCTCCTTGTTTGTTCCTTCTTTAGGAGAGTTCAGAGAGAAACTGGTAGGAATATTAACCCAAAAGAGCAGGTTTCAATCCTGCCTAGAAAAGAGACCAGGAGCAGTGTGTAGCAACCAGCCCTGCCCCTGGGAAAGAGGTACAGCCTCCCAAACAGACAAAGAGCAAAGTCAAGGGGAAGCTTTGCCGATTAGAGAAACTGAACTGGTCAGACTTTTCTTTAATCTATGACTCCAGAGAATGACCCTGAGCACAGGAGCCTGGGAAAGGGTGCAGAGCATGCTGCACACAGGGCTGGGACACACTCCCGAAGGTGACTGTGATCAGTTGTTGGTGACATGGCTTCCATACCTCACAAGGAAGCAGGGTGCCTCCACACCGGAAGTGAAGCATTACAAAGGAAGATGTTGGGACCAAAAGATCTTAGAAGCAAGATGATGATGGAGGAACATACATCAAGGACATGGAGTCATGGCTCGCTGTTACACTTGGAAGCTCTTCTGGAAGAGGAGAGGAAAATAGAGAAACAAGACCTGGGAGGCATGGAAGAACAGTAGTGATAATAAGAAACCACAGGATTTTCTGAGTGAGAAGAGCAGGGACGTGGTAGGAAGTTTTAAAATGACCTGTATTTTTATTATTAATAATAATAATGACACAGATTAATGGAGTTCGGTACAATGATTCTTTTCCTATGTGTATGTGAGAGTTGTATGCACACTATGTGAGTGCAGTACCCAAGGATTTCAGAAGAGGGCATCATCTCCAGGAATGGGAGCTATAAACAGTTATGACTAGCCATGCAGTGTTAAACCTGGGTCCTCCAGAAGAGCGGTATGCGCTCCTAACCACTGAGGTGTCTCTCCAGCCCCTGCTGTGATATTTCAACTATTTATACAGCATACAGTGGTCAGTTTGGGGTAATTAGCATTCCTCTCCATCACTGCTTGTTTTTAGACTTCGGGCTTCTCTGTTCTAGATCTTTATAATGACATTTTATGTGATTGTATTGGTTACAGCCATCCCCCTGCTTTCCTGTGAGTTGGGGGCACCATCGACCCCTCTCCTTTCTGCCTTCCCCACTCTCATTTATTCCAGTCTCTGGACATGACTTCTTCACATTCGGGATGACTTTCTTTGGCTTCCATGTACGACAGAACATTGTGGTGCTTGTCTTTCTGCACCTGATCTACTGAAATGTTTGTTTGTTTGCTTGCTTGCTTGTTTTTGCAGCACTGGGACTTGTGCATGCTGGGCAAGCGAAACCATTAGAGCTACATCCTCAGCCTTTCTGGGCATTTTAATATGAGAAATGATAGGAAAATCTGTGAAACACAAGAAGGGGCATTACTGAACACATGAAACTTCCTTCTACAAAAAAAAAACCCACAAAATTCCATACAAGCATTATTATTATTTTTTTTTTTTTTGAGACAGGTTTTCTCTGTGTAGCTCTAGCTGTCCTGGAACTTATTGTGTAGACCAGGCTGGCCTCAAACTCAGAGATCTGCCTGCCTCTGCCACCAGAGTGCTGGGATTAAAGTTGTTCTCCACATTCTGGATAATCCTGAAAAGGCGATTGAAAGATGAACCAACTCTAAGGAAAGCCCAGGGCAGAGAGAGCCAGACAGATGTGGACAGAGATCAAGGCTGGGGTGCGAGGCTGAGAGGCAGACAGATGTGGACAGATCAAGTCCGGGCTGGGGTGCAAAACTGACCTATACTGTACCTCCTTGTGTGACTTTTTCTATGCAGGAGTAGAAGTTAAGATTTGCCAAGCACTTAGAACAGGGTGGGAACGTGTTATATAAATGGAAAGTAATAAATAGGTATTCCGTTAGATATGTGGAAATGAACACACTTCATTTGCCTGGCACATAAAATCGGCAGGTCCCAAACATGGGGCTCATCTCTCTTGCCTCAAGGAGTCCAAGATAAGCAAATAGACAGACACTGGCAAGACAGATGTCTAAGAAAAAAACTCAAGAAATTTTAAAAAGTACTCCAATTGCCAAGGAAACAGGAGGTCATATTAAGGACATTAAAATCGGCATTGCGTCTTTCGAGAGAAAGGAGACAGGCGAGGCAGGAAGTGTAACAGAGAAGATTATCAATGGCCAGGAGCACTTGAGAATGAGGAAGGAGGATGGTGACGGGTCTGGCCTTCACCAGGACTGGGAAGGTAATTCTACAGAAACAACGCGAAGGTGGGTAGCTTCCCTGGGAGGCAGGCTCCACGGCCCCACACAGTTCCACAGCTGCAGAGCTGTGGTTATAAACTACCTCCTTGAGTGTGAAAGGCTAAGGACAGTCAGTGAGCCACAGCAGGTGGCCCCACAACAGAAATGGCCAGGGCTGCCATCTTGCTAAGCAGGATGGTCGACGCTACCAACCTGGTAGGAGCTAGAATCACACGGTTAACATTGTCAAATTCTAGGTGCATCTGTGAGGAGGTTCCTAGGCTGGATTAGGCGAGGCTAGACTATCTACCCTAAATGTGAATGACAGATTTTAGGGGCTGGGATTCCATACTGAAAGGAAAGAGAGGAGCTGGCTGAGCACTGTCATCGATCTCTCTCTGCTTCCTGACTGCGAATGTCATGTGACCAGCCGCCTCATGCATCTGCCACCACGCCTTCTCCATGATAGCCAACACCTTCAAACCATGAGCCACGGTAAACCCTGCCTTTCTTAAGTGGCTTCTGTTGGGTTATTTCTATAGCAACAAGCAGAGCAGGTAACACACCAAGTTTCTCGACTTCGCGAGACGCTTGATATGGGAGCAAACAATCAGAACTGAATCTGTGAGACCACAGAAACTGTGGCCCAACAATTAGGCTCTATCCAAACAGCAAGTGAATTCTGAGATCTCTGAAGTTTAACACAGGCTGGGGGTGGGGGTCAGGGTGGGCGTGTCCTGGGTTATGGGTTCTTGTCATAGAACACCATCAAGAGGAGGAAGATGGCTGTTTGTGGTCCTGGCTCCTTCCATTTCTTGGGGCCTCCCTCCTAACACAGCCACATCCTGGAGTCTCACACAGATTTCAGAAGCATGGTCTAAAGGCAAACACTAAGCTGCAGTGAGCAGTCGGAAGAACAAGAGCAAGCTTTTCACTAAGAATGTTCCATCGCCAAGAGATGACCTGTGTCAACCAGACTTCAGGGACAGAGCCTGTGGATTAGAGAGCCCCAGCTTCCAGTGTTTCCTCACCCTGATGGGCATGTTATGAACACCACCTTCAGTTTCTCCCTGCCTCCTGGTTTTCCCTTCCCCACTGTCAGAGCCCTAACCTAGTTTACGGTATTTGCAGGGGAGGAGATGCTACATATAGCTTAGCATTTTCTCCTCTCTCTACTCCAGGAGCCCAGCTGCTCTGTCGGACTAGAAAAAGGAAAATCAGTTTTCTCCACAGCTGCCACCAGGTATCATCAGCCATTTGTATTTCTGACATTTCCTGCTGTATCTAGCCCATAGCAGTGTTCCCGGGTTTGGAAAGCATTGTGGCCATTGTTACGCCTGGTAACCACCAACAGAGGCACATAGTATTATTCTAGACCTGTAGTTGAGTTTTATGTTTTGGGTAAACATTGTCATCTCACTTTTTTTCCTGGTTTTAACCTTGTTTCAGGTTTAACCTTGTTTAAAGTTGCTCCGTGAGATCCGGTTCACTGTACACATCCCCACACAGCTTCCCTCTCCTCACGCTCTCTGGCATTAAGTGTTAATTTCTGCAGTTCCTGTTTCCGTATCTTGTTCAGCTGCCTTCCCTACACACTGGAGGTGACTGTGGAGGCTGAATATGCTCTCTTCTCTCTAATTCAGTGGCTCTCAACCTTCTTCATGCTATGTGGTCCTTCAGTACAGCCCCACAGGTTGTGGTGACCCCCCACTATAAAATTATTTTTGTTGCTACTTCATAACTGTAATTTTGCTACTGTCATAAATCATAATGTAAATATCCGATATTGAGGTTATCAGGTACTGGACCCCTGTGAAGGGTTGTTCAACCCCCGCCCCTCCAGGGTTCTCGACCCACAAGTTGAGAACAACTGCCCTCATTTGCTTTGTGTTTGGTTTTCTATCATAGCAAAGGCAAAATAACTAACACAGTCGATCCTCACCTTCCACCTTGAGACGAGGTCTTCCATTGTCCCTACTATGGACGTCAGCCAGGAGCTTCAGGGGCTATGCTCCCATCTCCCGTGTCCCTGCAGGATGTGTGCACCCACACCCAGCTTCACCAGAGTCCTGGGGTTCCGAACTCGGGTCCCCATGCTTGCACAACAAGTACTGCACTCACTGAGCCGTCTCCCCAGCCTCTGTGGCACTGTTCCTATCTTCTTTCCCACAGTATACTGTCTCGCTATGAGATCTGAAGCAGGCAGTCCCAGGAAGACACTGGCTAACCTCTGTCTCCTCGAAACAACACCATCTGAACCCACCATACAAACCAGAAGTGCCTTATACGTTTTATTTATAAGACTGGAGCAGTCGAGAGTGTTAGTTTAAATTAACTAATAAAACAGGGGCTTAGGGGCTGGCTATTTACAGGAGACGAACTAAACTAGAAACCATCAGTTTTGTTCCAAATCAGGAATCATGACATTCACAAAGTGTTTTATAAACATTGATCTAAATATTTTATACTTGTGTATTTTTTTCCATGGGGAAAAAGTTGGCAGTAAATCTTTGGCATCAGCTTGAACAGGTTTCTCCTTGGACCGTCACCATGCACAGTGCCCGTCCACCTCTAATGGGCCCAAGGATTGTGTTTTGAGTACGTTTTCAGCAACCTCAGTTTTCCGATAACCGTGGGTCACTCCTAAAGCACTGTTGTCTAGAGGGAGCTGGACAGCGGTTTGAATTGTGTTTCTGGTTCTTGTCATGGCTTGCAGTCTTTGCATGTTCATCTTTCAAATGAGAACAGTCATTCAAGGAGTAATATAAAGCGTACATAGAGACCGGCCGCCAGGGGGCATCCTAATGCGTTGATCTAAACACCCACCAGTAGGGGAAACACACATCTGCTTGCTTCTCTCTAGTCCCACTTTCTCTGGGCAGGCCAGAGACTCTCTCTCTAAATGAACTAAGATGAATAAGAAAGCTCAGGCTGTCTCACTGAAAAGTGAACTTCGAAAAATTATAAATCTGGTCCTTAACTGGTTTGTTGGGGTTTAAGATTCTCTCTCTCTCTCTCTCTCTCTCTCTCTCTCTCTCTCTCTCTCTGTGTGTGTGTGTGTGTATGTGTGTGTATGTGCGCGTGTGCACACAGGCCTGAGCACACACAGAGGTCAGAGGAGAGCACTGGGTCCCTCGGAGCTGGAATACAGGCATTTGCAGAACACGTGGCTTGCAATCTCTGTGCTGGGCTCCCAGCTCCAGTCCTCACGACTGCACAGCAAGCACACTTACACCGCTGAGCCGTCGCTTGGGCCCTCTTCACTGTCTTGTACATAACTTTGGTTTTCATTATTTTTTTTTTATCATGTAAGCAATTTGGTCCCCTTTCCTTCGGAAGGCAAATCCTCAGTCCACTGCAACAATCCTAATTCCCTCCCTAAAGTCCTTTGGTTTGTAAGAAAACTTCTTTTCCACTTTGCCCTTTCTAAGAGGTAGGGTATTTACCCTGTATTATTTTAAGAGTTCCATTTTTTTTCTAAATTAAAGAAATTTATTTTATCATATTAAACTGGATGCCTTTGGGCTAGCTTCTGCAAAGAAAACTTGGAGGTGGTTAAATAATTCTTATTAAAATGATCTACACCTTTGTCTAGTCTCCAGCCTTTAGAGTTAAAACATTCCTTTGGAATATTGCTCTGGAGGGAGTCGTGGGAAACCTACTATGTGAAATCATAGTCACAGGCACGGTGACAGGACGACCCAGGCTTCTCTAGAGCAGGTCAGGCTTGTACGCGGAAGCATATGAGCGACAGTAGAGTTCAAATTTCATTCTTCATAAAACGAACTTCAAGATAGCCCAGGGCATGTGGACTTGCCCAGTCTTCCGTTTTCTTGCCATCAAGGACTCGTGGCTGTAGCTTTAAGTCATTATCTGCCACGGGACATTGTGACATGTGTCACAAGGGTCTGTGCATGACCGAGTTCATACAGCCTTCGGTCTGAAACCTTCACCAGCCTCAGTGGCAGGTGGGTCCTGACGACCCCACACCCTCAGGAGTTCTTCCAGCCCCGCTGCCCTCAGATGTGTCGTCCAGTGAGGAAAAAGAGTGGCCTGTCTTCCTTGGCATTGGCTGTCTGGAACTCATCCCGCAGCCGGAACTGCCATTCATCCTCCAACTCCAGGCGGACCACGGTCTGGCGGAGTGAGTTCCGGTCTTGGCAGATCACACACAAGGTGGCTCCTTGAGAGGGCAATGACAGAGGCATGAAGACAAAGGTGTTGAGTCCTTCCAAAGTACCCACTCACAATAGCCAACGGCTGGGTGGAAGTGCCAGGCACCCCGTGGCCTCTGGGATCCCACTCGCAATAACCAAGTGGCTGGGTGGAAGAGCCAGGTGCCCCATGGCCTCCGCTCCTGTCTAAGTGATTCCTAATCTCAACATCATAGACAATGATAGGGATTAGGCAGGCTTGCTGGGAAGACAGTGTAGCGGGCAGAGAAGATGAACAGAACAGGGATGAAGGGGAGCAGAGATGGCGGCTCGTTGCCAGATCAAACCATCTCAGCTCCAGCCCTGGGCTCTCGGGCTTATCTCAGTTCAACCGTTTCTCACGTGGGCCCTGGGCAGCTCGCACCTTTGCGACATGCCCCGCTATAGAAATTCTCCATCTGCCAGGCTCTGTTCACAGTCTTTTCTCCTCCCTCTCTACCTGTGTTCAGCCATCCCTTTGGGCCTGGATGTTTTAAGTAAGTTTACCATTTGGGAGAGTCACATTCTTAGCTAACCTGGGGCACTTTGGGGCCCCCAGACCGCAAGCTGGACAAGCCTGTTAAACACTGTTCCTGAGGTAAGAGGTTTGGCCCTATTCTTGCTACTTAAATGATTGAGAGCAAGGAAAACAGGCAAGGTACAAGCAACGCCAGCAAGGAACTAGAGCAGGCCTGGAGCCATAGGCAGACAAGTGCCTGTTTACAGGGTGTTTCCAGATTCAGCTACTAACAAGAAAAGGAGAAAGACTGGAGACAATGGAGGACATGGTGCTTTGTACCGCACAGAAACCTCTAAGGGGCCCCGGGGAACCAACATAAAGGACTGAGAAGGATAAGGAACAGAAAAATGAGAAACGCCTGCCATTCATGAAAAAGACAGGGGGGTCTTTTCTCTACTGAATGGTCCCTGGGAATTCAGTCCCAGCTTTCTGCTACTCTGAGAGTTGAGGCCAATGTCCTGTCATCAGAGACACAGGGTGACAGTGGCCGAGGTCCGGGATAGAAGCATTACCTTTCAGAAAATGGAACTTCTTCAAGAAGCTGGCCCCCACGAAGGAGTCACAGAGGTACAGCAGGAGCCCACTGAACGCCACGCCAGAGCAGCTGATGTTTAGGGAGTGGGGCCTGGAACTCACATAACAAACAGAAATCTGGAAAAGAAGGAGCCAGGAGGGTCACCTTCCAGGAAGTACTCAGTCACATTTGGGACTAACAGCCAGCACATAGCACGTGCTGGGGCAAACTCAAGGTGGAGTTTGGGGAAGAGTTAGTCATGATATCGCCAAAACATATCCTTTAAAAAAGTCAATTCTAGGAGGTTTGTTCCGATTCGTAAGTTGATTTGAAAATAAGTAAAGCCTTGACAAACTAACACGGTGCCCTCTGCCTCGGTTTTGGCAGAGGTCAAGTATGGATGAGCATCTGAGGTAAAGGGTGAGCACAGCCCGGCCTCAGTATCTACAGGTTCCATCCATGCCGTGGGACAATGATCTTTTGTCCTGTCACTTGTATTATTTTTAATAAAATGCTGATTGGCCAATAGCCAGGCAGGAAGTAGAGACAGGGCAACGAGAATTCTGGGAAGAGGAAAGCTCAGTCTGCAGTCGTGACCCAGCTACAGAAGATGCAAGATGTGACCCCCTTGCCGAAAAAAGTACCAAGCACGTGGCTAACACAGACGAGAATTATGGGTAATATAAGATGTAAGAATTAATTAATAAGAAGCCTGAGCTACTAGGCCAATCAGTTTATAATTAATATAGACCTCTGTGTGTTTTTTTGAGACTAACTGGCTGTGGGACCTAGTAGGACAGAAACCCCAGTCAACACATCCATTCCCACAGATGCTGTCAACCACAGGTCTAAAATACCTGGAGAACTGAGTCTGTATTGAATGTGCAATGTAGTACGGTTATGTACATAGCACCTACACTGCAATGGGTGTAAGCCACCTAGAGGTAATTCCAAGTGTATAGGAGGGTTGTGTGAGCATTGCTAACACAAGGGACATGAGCGCATGTGAACTCCCAGTACCCACGGAGCCGCCGACAGATCTCCATAGATACCTGAGAGACGCTGTAATTACGATTCAAGATTGTGGTACTGGGCCACCTGTTCTATGGATTCCAAGCCAAGTTACCTGAGGTCCTAGGTTAAGGTAGCAGTCCACAGACAACACGGGGTGGCTGTGGTTCTTCAGGGACAGCGGGAAGAAGCGGTGGCTGTGGTACTGGAGGAACTTCTCCAGTAGGAGCTGAGCAGGAGCCGCCAGGAACGTGTGCTTACTGTCTGGGGCACAGATGTACTGGGATGGCACAATGGCCACAGAGCTGTCAGATACCTGCCAGGAAGAGGGACAGGCCTCAGGCCACTCAGTTGTCTCGGGTAAAATACAGCAGCACATGCGTGATGCCTTGAGCTCAGAACCCTGGCACCCATGTGAACACCAGACGTGGTCACGTGTATCTGTAACCCAAGAGCTGGGAGAGGGAAGGTCAGGCTGCATCCCTGTAGCTCACTGGCCAACCAGTCCAGCCGGTTAATGAGTTTGGGGTTCAGTGACAGACGGCCTCTCAACGGGTAAGGTGGAGAGAAACAGTACAAGAGATCCAACAGCCACTTCCAATGTCTGGCTTCGCATACATGTGCAAGCATGCAAGCACACATTCACATGCATGTGAGCATGTGTGCATGCACACACGCATGCACACGCACACACCACCAAAGAAAGCCTGTGAAAACCGACTAATGAGATCACATTGATTTGTACACATTGACCATTCCACGGAGAAAATTTATCCAAAGAAAATAAAAGCACACGCAGGCCTTGGAAACTCTCCCACGGAGCCTGAGCTATAAAAGCAACTAGAGTATCTAAAGCATTGGTTCTCAGCCTGTGGGTCACGACCCCCTTGGCAAACCTCTTTCTC